TTGAGGTCTTTGTAGGGGCAATATTGTGTAAGTATGGCATGGAAACATAGATAAAGTCCAGAGAAACTCAGCAAAAAATGATTAAAAGCATGGAAAGTTAGCACTACGAAGAAGAACGCAAAGTATTTTATTGTAAAGAAGAGAAGACATGGTGGGGGAAGAGTTCTTTATAGTTGCAAACTATGTGAAAAGTTGTCTTGACAGGAAGATAAAGCCTCTCTGAGTTGCTGTTGGGTTTATGAAGACTACTCATGACTTTATGAAAGTAAAAGATTCCCTAACATCCTCAGAAACAAGGTTGTTGTGTGAAGAAGTTATCATGGATGACCTATTATGGAATCATAGTGCCTAAAGAAGCCATTTTAAGTTTTTTGTTTATTTTTATTATTATATTATTTATTATTATTTTTTTATTACTGCTGTAGATTAAATACCAGTGTAAATACATTAAAAACATGTGGTATAAATATAAAAAATACAATTAATGTACAACAAAATGCACAGATCTTAAAGTGTTTGACTTGTTGAGGTTTTGACAATTGTATACACATTGAACCAGATACATAGCATTCATTCTCTCACCCCAATAACATCCCGTATACCTCTGACCAGTCAATTGTTCCTCCCCTCCAGCAGCCATTTACATGAGACCACATTAGAGATGAGTAAAAAGAATCCCTGATACATGAGTCTCTTGTCTTAGGTAATGGTTAGTCAGTCTAAGGATAGTGACAGAAGCCCATGTTTCCTGATCCCCTGATGCCATTTCCATTTGTACTGGGAGCCTTACTGGTTTCACTTGCCCGTAGCTTGATTGCTTTAAGGTCCTACATTTCCTCTTAGGCTTTGGTTATGAAACGTGATGCTAATTCACACTAGAATCATCTTCATTACCCAGGCTTTTGCCATTTATGTCTAGAGAGACTCTAATCCACCTTTTCCCTGGAGCAACTTGGCTTTTTTGGTCTATCTTTTCTTTTTAAGTTTGCGGGTGGACTCATGCACTAGCAGGGTGGTGGGGGGTAGGGATAGAATGGAAGCATGGGAGAGAATGAGTGAGGAAAGTGAGAAAGCATCCCTCCCTCCCTCCTTTGGGGAATGGCCATGCCACAATCCCATCTCCTCTATTTCTTCTTCTTTTTTTTTTTTTTTTTTTGATTATGGGCATGCACACACACACACTTAGTGTCTTTTCCAAGTTTCTGGGTCTGGAATTCAAACTCCACAGTCAGCCATGTGGAATCCAGTGCCTTAAACACCAGGCTACAGGCTGGCCCTTTGGTATGTCTTTTCTACCTCAATCTATTCTCTAACCTTTGGGGTTCCTGGCTGCAAGAAATTATCTTGCCATAATGTATGTCTCTAGAGAGGCTGATGGAGTGTCTTTGCAAAATTGTGCTGTAGTAGATAGAATTTTTTACTTATTCCCCAACTTTATCTAGAATGTGTCTGCACAATCCCATTTCTCCATTATTTAACACGCTCTGAAAACTTTCAGTAGTCTATGAGCTTAAATTACTACTACACATTATATGCCTGTATAAATACACTAGAAAACACATGGTGATTAATTCAGTAAACTACCTTTTCACTTAGAGACCTTTGATTGAACTGATGCACCCGCACAGTAATTGATACTGAATCCTTTCAGTCAAATGTTTTCCAGTGGGCATTTTTACTCTCTCCACAAAGCAAGGTTATCCATCTAGGCACTTTGGTTAGAGGTCAGTGTCAATAATTATATGCCTCTTGTCACCTTAGCCGGGCTTAAGTTTTTACAAGTCTCCATCCATTTTTCTTACTCCTTAACTATGAAGAAACATTAGTGATCCTGGGTTCTACAGGCCATGCTGGCTGAGGGTGAGGCTTATTCACATAACGCATGTCTCTCCTGAGCACTGGCCTTAGATGAGTGGAAAGTACTTCATAAACTTGGAGTCTGCCCCTAGTGGGACATGCCAACATATAAAAAATTTTCAGGGGACCAGCAGTTAGCATAATGGCTCTGTCACTGGACTCCCGTGTAGTCGATCGGGGTTCATGTCCCGGACCCAGTGGCTTAAAGCTCACGCTGGGCGCGTGTGCGTGTGTGCCCAAGATCCTGAGAGGAGAATGGAGGAGAAGGGATTACGGCGTGGCCATCCCCCTTGGGGGGATTTCTCACTTTCTGTCTCTCTGTCTCTGTCTGTCTGGCGAGTGCACGCACACTATAGCAAAAATCTCTAAAAAAAAAAAAAAAAGTTAAAAAAAAATTTTTTTCAGTATTCACTATTCACTGTGAGTCAAATAAGCACCTATCGTTACAATTGCAATTTGTAATTTAAGATTACAGGGGCTTTCCATTGTGTTTTAATAAAGGACATATTAACAGGTGAAAAAACAGAGTTCCCTTTGATGTAGGTTTCTTTGGGCAGATAAGTTCTCTTGAGGCCTGTGAGTCAGGTTCTAGGAATTCTCTTTCAGCACTGCCTTTGACAGAATAATTGGCAGTGGTCAGATGGTGCAGGCTGGGCTCTGATCTGTTTCCTTAAAAGGTTGACTGGGATTAGGGAAAATATTATATCATGAGTGTCTCTGTATTCCTCAACAACTTTAAAAAAAAAAGCTATTTAAAATTTCTTTCTTGAATGAGCAAGAGAGACAGCACCCAAACTGGGTCTTGATGCCACAGTCCTCCCCCAGCCCCAGCCCTAGCCCACCCTGGATCATAGGCACATGGGTGCTCAATGTATTCAGGGAGGTCTTTGGATATAAACCTGGAACCTTCCCATTGAGCCAGCCTTGCAGAGCATTGTGTTTCTACTGCTGCACTACCATTACTTTTTTTTTTAAGGTTTATTTATTTCTTGTAGGAGGGAGAGAGAGAGAGAGAGAGAGAAACACATACACACACACACATACACACACACAACACCTCCATCTGAGTCTTCATACCACAGTGCACCCCCCAGCCTGCAGGGACTTGAACCCTGGATCTCCCATATGGGGCCAGCTGCATTACCACTGTGTTACTGCCTGGTCCAACAGCAACTTTTAATGGTCTTTTTTTATTTTTTATTTAATTTATTTACATTCACTGTACATCATTATAGCATACAAAGTGAGATTTCCCATCCAGAATACACTGTATATTGGCTCAGTCAAGCACATCAACATACGTGTTTTTTGTCAACAAATAATTTTCCATTTCTTGTTTCCTGTATATTTTGCTTTTTTTTTTTTTTTTGCCATCCTGGATTCCCTATCTAAGAACCCTAGATTACTTTTCAGTAAAATAGTAAAATAGTTTGTGTTCTTTTTTTTTTTTTTCCCTTTTTTTTTTTTTTTGGAGAGATTTTCACTGTAGGGCGCGTGCGCTCGCCAGACAGACAGAGAGAGACATAGAGACAGAAAGCGAGAAATCACCCCCCAGGGGGGATGGTCACGCCGCAATTCCTTCTCCTCCATTCTCCTCTCGGGATCTTGGGCACGCACGCACACGTGCTCGGCGTGAGTTTTAAGCCACCGGGTCCGGGACGCGAACCGCGGTCGACTACGTGGGAGTCCAGCGACATAGCCATTACGCTAACTGCTGGTTCCCAATAGTTTATGTTCTTTAGAAAAGATTGAGCCAGGGCTAGCAGGTGTGGAGGTTGAGACACTGACTCCCAGATGGCTGACCATGGTTCAAGTCCCAGACCTGGCGGCTTCTTTCCCACTTCCTCTCTCTCTTTCTCACTCTCTCTCTCTCTCTCTCTGGTGAGCACATGTGTGTTATAGCAAATAGAAAAATAATAACAATGATAAATAAAAATAAAATAAATTAAAAAGAAAAGATTGAGCCTGTAACTGTCATTTGGTTGTCATTGTCAGTTCAAGATTTTTATTCTAAGAAATTCCAGAATGGGATCTTTAATTTTACTGCACAGTCCCTGTCTTTCTGCATTATGAATCATCCCTGATTTGGAGAAGATTTTTTTTGTATGTTAAATCTTAAAGTGTTTTACTAATGGCAAAAATGATTTAGTTTCGTTGTAAGTTGTTTTATTATTTTAGGTTATGGAGGTTTTCTCCCTAGTTTATTAGGAAACAAAATTTTACCTGTACTACTTTGACTTAGCTTAGATTGAAGATACTCAATTGATTCACCAATAAATATTATGACCTATAATTTTTCACTACTGCACAAAAATAGGCAAGCCAAGAATTCAAATGAGCAGTGTTTGTTTGTAAGCCTGTCTGAATCATTGTCCCTAAAAATTGTCTATGTCTACAAGAGATCCTTACTTCAACAGCAAGAAGAATAAACATGATTGACCATTAAGTGTATCTGTTTATTTTGTGTTTACCCCAGATATGTTGACGTTTGCAGTCACATGGAATACCCCTGCCGCTTCCAGAATGCTTCTGCCACCACCCAGGAGATCATTCCACATCGAGTCTTTGCCCCGACGTGCCTCAAGGGTGCCTGCCAAGAGACCCTTCTGCGGCTGATCTCCCCTTGCCTCTCAGCAGCACATTCTATCCTGGGAACACACCCCTTCTCCCGGCTGGATATACTCATTGTCCCTGCCAACTTTCCAAGTCTGGGGATGGCCAGGTATGTTGTACTGTGGTGGCACTTGGGTAGATGCTTTGGGAATTCTTTGACCACCTCTTACCTCCCTTGAGCTCTGTCAGGTTCTTCATTGGATAAGGCCTGAGGGGCCATGGTTGCTCATGCTTGGCCATCTGACTGCTGCCCTGAGTGACAGTTTTCGTAAAGACTGCACCATGCATGACCCTTTGGGCATCTTGGGCTCAATTCTGACTGACTTCTTGAAAATAAAAAACTCACATTACTGCTGGGATTGAGAACATACTGTGTCCTCAGAGTGATGTATGTTGGACCGTGGCTGAGCAGTGGCTGTTAGCTTGGGTGATGAGAGCATAAAGCTAATGAGCCCAACCAAGGTCAAAGCGTCAGGCCTGGGCACGGTAGTAATAGGACTCACTCCCAGGGCCACAGGCTGCTCGCCTAATCCTGACCAGCTGTCTCATCCATTCTCACCAATGGTCACAAGGGCAACGGCTTGAGAGCCCCAGTGTCAGAGAGACTATGGATGAATCAGTGTAAATCCATCTTCACTGCTAGAAAAACAGCTTCAAGCAGATGGCTTTCTAGGGGGTGCAGAGGGGGTTGCAGCACAGGGGAGTGTCTTGTCTTGCAACTATTTTTTAATACAATAAATTCATTATTCTTATTGGGTCTCTGTTTAGTTCCTACAGATAATCAAGACCTACAAGTTGAACTTTTCCCCCTGTGTATTATTTACAGCTAAAATCCATTCATTAATGCCATTGTTCATTCAGTAATGGGTAGCTGTGCTTGACTGAGAAAAAATAGGGAATGTGCTCAGGATTTTACTTGGTTATATTTCTATTTGAAAATCTTAATCATTAACAGTGAATACGCTTGACTAAGGATGGGAAAAATAAGCTCATCCAAACATGTGACTTCAAGTTTTTCCCTATTAGTCAAGGAAATTCCT